ATCACCAGCTTCAAGTCGGGCAGCAGAATTGGAGGCACAGGTCCTGGGAGCGGGACGGGCAGCCGGGGGCTCGACAGCTTGGGGGCTGGCTGCGGGACTGGCCTCGGGACTGGCAGTGGAGATGACAGCTCGGGCCCTCGTGGCAGGACGGGCAGCCTGAGGCTCGGCAGCTTGAGCTCTGGTAGCGGGACGGGCAGGTCGGAGCTCAGCCGCCGGAGTGACCGCGGCTTTGGGAGCTGGAACCCTGGCGGCGGGGTTGGCGGCTTTGAACTCGGTATCCAGAGTGGCAAACCGGACTCTGGTTGTGGGAGGAACAGCTTGAGCCTTGGTGGCGGAAGTGGCGGCTTGAGGTTGCGCGGCGGCGGTAGCTTGAGCTCTCGTAGCGGGATGGGGGGCTTGGGACAGGGCTGCGGTATTGGCATCTCGGATCCTTGTCGCGAGATCGGCGGCGGGACTGGACGCAGGAGCCGGATTTTGAGGGCTGGCAGCGATGTTGACAACTTGAAATCTGGTAGTCGAACCGACAGCTTGGGAGTCGGCAGCTTGGGTCCTGGCGGCATCGGCAGCCTTCCGCTTGGCAGCTGGGTGAGCAGCTTGAGGAATGGGATTGACACCAGCAGCTCGGAGGTTGGCCATGCCCTTAGCAGCTCGCAACGCGGTCGCGAGACCGATAGCTTCGCCTCTGGCAGCAGGAGTGGCTTGAGCTCTAGTCGGGGGATGAACACCTCCGAGCCCAGCAGCGGGATTGACGGCTTGGGGCGTGTCACCGGGACGGGTAACTCGCCATCTGGGACCGTAGCCGTTCGTCTTCCCGTAGAAGGTCTCTCGAGGGATCGCACCCTGCCTACGAGTCACCTTGGCGAGCTTGCCGCCCTTCACCTTGTTCTCGGGGGCAGGCTTGGTAGTCGGAGCCGCGGCGGCCGCAGCTGCTTCGTTGGTCGTTGCGATCGCGGCAGAGGAGGCGATCTGCTTGCCATCATTCTGGCGCTGCCTCTTCTGGGGAGGTGCAGCCAGCGACTCCTCTCCAACGTCACTGCCGGATGCATCGACAGTCGTGCGCTTCCTCTTCCGTCTCGCCGACCTCCCACCGGACCCGCTCACGTCCTTCTCCGGCTCTCCATCTTCAATGTCGGAATCGGCAAAAGTCACGCGATTCCTCTTCGACCTCGTGAGCCTTGGACCGGGTCCAGCCGCACCCTGCTCCGGCGTCTTGGAGGCTGACGCCCTCTGGGCGCGCATGTGCCGAAGGCCCTCACGATTACGCTGCGGGCCGTTCACCAGGTATGACACCTGTGAAACAGAGGATCCGCGGCTGGATGGCGGTGAGGATGAGGTCTTGGGAGGCCGATACTCAGCCTCCCACTTACGGCGGAGATCCTCTAAGGCCTTTCCGTCATCGACGTCCTTCCGCCTGGCCGCTGCTCTACGCTGGCAGCTGTGGTGGCCGTCGTTGCAGTGTGCGTGTGCCCACCCATCAATCGTGTTAGTGGTGATAGGGTTGAGGGTTGAGTTGAGGCCCTGGAGGGCCAGGGCAGCGTCGCCTTCCAACCACGGGAAAAACTGGGAAGCAATCGCAACACCTTCTGTCAGAGCTACTGATTGACTGACCACGGAGACTGTGGGGAGCGTGAACTCACCATAGTAGCCTTTGCTGAGGTTATCTCTGTCGACGTAAGGGGCGTTCACGAGTGCGACGGCGCAGAGACGCGCGAACGTCATCCCGGCGTAGTTCATGTCAACCTCCGGCCCTTGCCTCTCAAGAGACGGTTCATGTTCGGAGTTGCGGGGCCGAAGGGTCGGGTTGTGAAGACAGAAGCACGCTTCCATGAGCGCTACCCAGATTTTGGGCTCACTACCGTCAGCCCAACTCTGCGATTGGCAAAGATTGCTACTTTGCGACGCGGCACTCACAGCTGGCTCAGGCCCTGGGCATAAGCCTCGTTTGCGCTCATGATCAGAGGAGAAGCAGCCCATGGCCAGCACTCAAGGTGCGCCTTTACCAGGTACGCGATGCTCTCAGAAATTCGGCAATCGCGGGAATCGCCGAACTGCAAGAGGCGCGCGTTCTTCAGCTTCCCGGCGCCTTTTCGCCACAGCTTCTCGGCAGTTTTTACAGCCACAGAAATTGGCCGGATTCCTCCTTCAGTCTGCGCCTTTCTCGCCACAACAACGTCAGCCGGCAAAGGGTGATCCGCGGCGAGCCAGTTAAAGGAACGGAGAGTGCGGATCAGGGATTGGACAATGCGCAGATTGGTCGCGAGTCGTTCCTTCTCCCACTCCGAGACCATGGTGGTGCGGCTGGGCTTTTCGTTGGATATCTGCAGACTGGGTTCCATTAACACGGCCATGTCTTCGAACTCACGGGTGACGGAATGATTGCGCTTTATGTATGGTCCAATAATTCCTAAGGTGGTCGCCCGGCCACAGCTCCCATAGCTTACCATTGAGTGAGTGATCGTGCTGCCGCAGGTGTCTTCTCTCGAACTCAGCCACACGTGGTAGGGGATCCAACCCATTGGTTGCAGTGTACGGTGATATCGGGGCGACAAGCGGAAGGAAGTGCCATGACGGTTCGTTATCCTTGGTGTAACCTCTGGACCTGAAGACTGGGTTCGGCAACCCGAGGATCATCGTCTTGAGCACCGTCCTTGACACACGCGGGGTCGTTGCGAGTAGGGGAGGGAGATAGGGATTAGGGCATGGAAATGGTTGGGAAGACGCGTGAGGATAGCAAAATGACATCCAGCCTAAAATGTCTGTGTCGCGTCGGGCACTGGTGCCTCGGAACACATGCAGAGCGCGCACAGAGACAGATCATGTCGTCTGCCCGTGTGTTCACTCCTCCAAACACGATAATACGAGGTGCACACCCCAACACCGTCTGTGCTCCAGGGATGCGTGGGCGCTTTGGGTACATTGGGCTTGTCCGAGAAGGCTGGAGGTGCACACACACTGCACGCAGTCCTCCGGCGCTGCTTCCTTGGCAGCGACCAACGGCGCAATGACTATCACACAGGCAGTAGCGTGCAGCACCCGTAGTGAGTGTGGCGAGTCGCTCCCGATCCTGACGCACGGCGCCTTCCTCCGGGTCCATGATCGTTCCTCAACATTTAACCCTGGGACCTCTCCGCGTTCCCGTCGCGCTGAAACTGTAAACACCTGTGTACCAAGCACGGTGGCACCGTTCACTGCCACCAGCCTCGCAAATCTGAGTGCATCGTTCTAACATAGCTTTTGGCGGAGTCGACAAAGAACCCCACCAAGGTCCTTGAACACCAAGCAGGGTGAACGTGAACGGGGGGGCCGTCTGACCTGGCCAGTCCGGGACACCTGTTCCGACCTTCTTTGAAGCTGTCCTGTGGCGAGCATCGTACGTTTTCCATTCCGTCGCACGATGTTGCGGATGACGGCTCCCCGGGGCGCGGCCCGCGAGCGACGAGGAGGGCGTACCACCGTCTTCGTGATTGCCCGTAGATCCCAAAATTTGGACAAAGCCACACGTGCTGCAAGCTCTGTGCACCGATCGAGAGACGCCGCACGGAAGATCCGTGCAGGACGACGGGAAACAGCCGAAATTTCCGAGTCGGTACCGCACCCTTCAAAGACCTGCCGAGCACAACACCGGCTGCCCGGAAAAGCCTCTAGGCACCCGTTCGACTGGTGTGGTTTGCCTGGCAATGGAGAGCCAAACGGGTTGTGGACAGGCAGAGAGTGGCTGGAGGAGCGTAAGCAGTCACCGCAATAGCTCAGGGCAGTATAGACAGTCTTGCATGATTCCAAACACATGACGGTTGCAATGTAACCAAGTTGATCGAAATGCTTTTCTACGTTGCCTCCTCGCTCCCATTCCACCACCAAGCAGCTACTCTCCCTCAGATTTGCGACGCGGAACTGAATCAGAACTCCCGCACTACGGAGTATAGGCGGGCAAATAGAACACGCCGGACACACCGCCGAGAGCGAGCTGGAAGTTCTCCCCCATGTCCACCACGCGGCTGGTCGTAAACTCCATCTCGACTCGCTTGTCCGGGAAGGCGAGCATGGGGACCTTGTGTTGCGAGGGGAGGCCGACGAACCACGCGCAACTGCTGTTGGAGGCGAGGGTCGAAGGATTGACAGGCGGTACGGGCGACTCTGGCTCGTGGGCCAAGTCAGGTTCGGGGGAAGGCGTAAAGAGCACGCTCTGGCGGTCGTCAAGGTCCGAGATGGTCGAGATAGACTCGCTGTCCTCATCGGCAATGGCATGGAAAGCGGGAGGGGAGGGAGAATCACTCAGATTGCTCTCGGTGGCTGCCTCGTCGCCCATGACAGCGTCTCCATCGTCATCTCTGTAAGGCGCGAACGCGCCCCACGCGTCCTCCAGCTCTTCGTCATCCAATGTTGCCGTGAGACTCTCGAACATCTCCCACAGCAACTGGCGCTCCATCTCCAAGAGCTCGTTCCGGTATTGAGGTTCCTCGGCGTTGGGAGCGGGGATGGGCGTCTGAGCCAGCGCTGGAGCCGTCCCGGCTGCGGCGGCCCCATCGTCACCGCGCGAGAGACATCGGAGCCCGGTCTGCCGCGAGCGCATCTCCTCCGATGCACGGTCGTCCCGGATGCGTATCATCAACCTCCTCATGTCCCTATTTAACCGGACGAGCATCGCACATTGCGCGGCTTTAGCCGCAGACTCCCTCTCAGCATCCCTGATCGCCGCGGCCTCGGCCCATTGCTGCTGAACCTGGAGACCGAGCCACCAAGGCGCCTGGTTGCCGACTGTGACATTGCTCCACCACTTGGGCGGATGCTCCCTGAACGCACGGAGCTTCTGCACTTCGTCCTCCGGCCAGCGACCAAATTGGCATCGATAGTGATCGCGGTCGCAATCGGAATGGGCCCAGTCAGCGACCTTGAGCGCCTCGGTCGATGCTGCAGTCGAAATGCCGCGGCGAGCGATGCGGCCTTCATCCGCCAACCAAGGAAAGAAGCGGGAAGTGAGCTCAACGCCTGTTCATCAGTCCGAACGTGCAGTTGGGGGGTAAAAGGGTGGAACATAACTCACCATAGTAGCCACGGTTCAGGTGCATTACATCGACGAACGGCGCGTGAACCAACGCAAGAGCACAGAGACGTGCAAACGTCATGCCAGCGTAACGAATGTCCGCCTTGGGACCCTCCGTGCGAAGCTCAGGGCGAGGACCGGAGCCAGGAATTTCGGGCAGAAGTCTGGGATCGTGGAGAGAGGCGCATGCAACAAAGAGGTCGAACCAGATTGCATGTTCGCTACCGTCAGCTCAACACGTGATCTATGCACTCACACCTGGCTCAAGCCCTTCGAGTACGCCGACCTGACGCTCATGATCACCGGACTGGAGCTCCAAGGCCACAGCTCCAGCATGGCCTCAACGAGCTTCCTGATAGCGCGCGAGATGGCCATGAGGTTGCGCCCGTGCGGTAGGCCCCAGGCTGCCTTCAGGTCGGCGACAGCCTCAAGACGGACCCTTGCAGCGCGCCGCGAAGACTTTCTGACCGACACGACGGGGCCGCGGCGCTTGAGGGCCAGGATCTCAAGTGGAGAGGGGCCAGCAGCCAGCCACCCCGCGTGCGTTAAGGTGTGGACGAGGTCGGCCAAGAGGCGCAGGTTGGAATTGAGGCGCTCCCTCTCGTAGAAAACGATCATCCGAAGCCGGTCGTCCAGGGGTTCGTACTCGCCCCAACCGCCGGTGACGAAGTGCGGGAGGTAGACGTGCATGCATGAGTCCGGGTCACCGTATCCGCCCACCCTGGTGTCAGCGAGCGCAGACAGCAGTCCTCTCCGTCAGTGGTTCTGAGGAGAGGTAGGTACTCACACCCAGCACGCAAACCTCCAGCCTTGCCGCTCCCGTTCGAGCAACGCCTCCTCCATCGGCCAGAACCGCCACAGGTGGTCCGCATTCAAACGCTTCTCGTGATGGGCGCGACACAAGTTGCTGCCGATAACCTTGCCCTCCGTAGCCGTGCAGGGAGAGACCGCGCTGACGAGGGGCAAGAAGTGCCACGACGGTTGGATATCGTTGCCATGGTGTTGTTTCCAAACTGGGTCGACCCAGACGTAATCGTACCAAGGCGGAAAGAACATGGCTCGATGTTGTCAAGTGAACTGCTTGAGGTGAACGGGGCGGTTGGTATGACAGATCAGAGAACTGGAGCATCCAAGTTAATGTAGTGCACGTCCTGAGTCAGATGTTTCGGTTCGCGACTAGTTCTACACGGAACGCGCACAAGCAGCATGGTTAGGGGGACGCGGTCTCGTCCCTGCCGCCAAAGCATGTCTATAATATGGAATACACACATGTTCGCCTGAGAGCACATGTCTGTGCAGCTGTGGCGGCAGGGTATCGTGTACCCGATCCGAGCGCCAGGGCGGTTGTTCGGAGATACTCGACGCACGGCGCAGTTGTCATGCTCCCAGACGCCAGGGTGCTCCTGCAACATGACAGAGCAAGGAAACTGCGGTCAGTGGGGTGAGTATCTGGTCAGAGGTGACAAATGCACAAATGCAGTCCGAGCTTTGATCGGGTGCATGGACGTCTTCGGTGCGCCCCCTGGGACCTCCCTACCGCTCTCTCAACTCTTCCTGCTCCGCTTCCTCGAATGCAGTTCGCCCTCGTTCTCGAGAAAGGCGACGCGTTCCAGACCCTCCTTCCAAGCCTTCTGATGAGCGTGTGCTCCACGCACAAGTTCGACAAACTGCGTTCCTGACCTGCGTGCCCAGTCTTCCCTCGTCTCGTAATCGAAACTGTTCAGTATGCCGAGGCCTCGCAGCTGCTCGTTTATTAAAGCGCAACCCTTCTTGAGAGCGCCCTTCCGTGCTGTGAGTCCAACGAGCGTCACACGATCGACGGTTCCCTCCTTCAGACCGCGGATTCCAGAGGACAGCAGCTTCTGAATCATTTGGACCAGACTGGCCTCATCCATTGTTCCGGAATTCCTCTCCACCCCGGGAAGGAAGCAGAGCTCGAGCTCCGGTGCTTCATCCCCTTTCCGACTTCCAGCCATCTTGATCAGGAAGCCGTCGGGGCGCTCCGTGCGTCGTTCCAGGGACGTCACGACAACAATGCGTTCACAGCCGCGGGGAACGTTGATGGTGAATCTGCCCTCGATTGCCGAAGGTACGTGAGGCACTATCACGGTTGGAACCCTCTGCCGAGACGCTGCCGGCCAGGCGTCGGGGTGTCCGATGACCCGTGCAATCCTCAGGCTAGGAAAGAGTCGGCGGCGCTTGGGCTCATCTGGGTGTCGGAGCAGATCGACGGGTATGCCTTGTGGCTTGTTGCACACAATGTCGAGGACACGAACCAAGGGAGAGGGCGCCCAGTCGTCGCACCAAAGACGGCACAAGGTAGAACGTCGGTCGCCATCGTCAGAGAAGACAATGTGTTTGGCGAGGCAACCGTCGGCGGCATGCTTGAGGGGGCGAGACACAAGCCTGAGGCTGATGAGTGTCGCGGGAAAGGCGTGTTTCACGATGGCGTTCAGGATGCGCGGCTCCTTCTCGAGTGCGAGCCACGCACGACGAACATTCTCGTCGCGCTTGCGTTCATCTTGGCGGCGACGGTTTGCCCTCCCTCGCGCAGCTGGGGAGCGCGGGTGCAGGCGGTCGCTGGCGAGGATGTCGGCTGCTCCCTGTTGAAGCTCACCGCGAGCAATTAGGCGCTCCATTGAAGCGCAGATGCTGTGGTGAGGGTTAGAGGTTTGAGGGGATAGTGTTTGCCCCCAGAGCTGGCAACATTTATCAGCAATGATCGCGGTGGAGGGGAGTACAAGCGTCATTGACGCTCCCCTCGTGCAGCAGGAGACAATGAGACACCGGGCGCTGGCGTGGTCTGGTCGCTCCAGAATGCACAATGGTGGCTGCTCCACACATGGCATCAATTCTGATTACTCCCTACCACACACGGCGCAGCCTACACGACACTGTAGGTGTTTGGTTGCCTCGACCGGGACCGCATCGACTGTGTTTATGCTAGCTCTGTATTCCGGATCACGGCGATGGGTCGTTAACAAACCGCTAGGCGGTTGAGGTCGAGAGAAGGGTTGTGTCCGCTACCTGATGTGAGCTTTGACATGTGCTGCAGAGTTGTTCGCGAAACATCGGTGAACGTTGTCGACTCGGAGCTGCGAGTGTATGCCGTCGATACGGTACAGATGCAAGTTCGGCGTCACGATTAAGTCGATGCGGAGTGCTGTGAGGTGCATCGGCCGGCGATGACGGAGTTGCGGAAGCAAATGGCTATTTGTCCGCGGGCCGCGGCCGTGACAGCAATCTTGCGCGGCAACGAAACCCTGACAGACTTCTTCCATCATCTCCTGCTGCGTTATGTCTCCTTCTCACCGGCGTCTTCCTCTCATGTGTACGCAACGTGACCAGCAGCCGCCGGCATCGCCTGCTCTGTGCGGGCCGCAATTGGCTTCCCACGAAGAATGGACACCGCCGCCGGCACGCCGTTCTGTGTGAACATTTTCATTCCAGGCTCTCCTGATTTAGGATCTGGTCACCGCCCGCCTTCATTCGATGTCCGCATCAACGGGCGCCCGACGATATGCAGCTCACCAACAGCAGCGCGTCCAGCATTGTCCGAGATCTGCTCAGTTTCCCGAGAAGATGCGGCATGGTGCGAAGTAGCGACGCCGTCCGCGGTCTTCATTGGCTTCGGGGAATCGGAGGGGTGGGTCGACGCCAGCCAAAATTAATTCGCCGAGATACGCAACCACTGACCACGGTGGCGACTGACGAGGATTCGATGACGCCAGGAGCTAGATAAATGCAATCAACGATGCTCCGGGGTTCCTTTCGAACCCAAGCAAGCTCTGACATACCCACATACGTGCATTGACTCGCCAGAACACAACGCAGTCTTTCACTTATTCCGTTTGCACCGCGTACTCTCGCCATGACGCAACTACACCCGCTATCGGTCCCCCACGTCTTCGACACGATCATTGACTCTGCCGCGCCCGAGTCGCTCCCGACGCTGCGCCAAGTGTGCCACCTCTTCCGCCACCGGGTGGACAAGCGCCTCGCCTCTCAGCTGAGCTACACCCGCCCCGCCGCCATCAGCAAGCGCGGAAGTTTGCGCAGTTCCGTGTGTCCCTCAGTCTGGCGCCCATGCTGGCAGCAATCGTCCGACGTGCGCCTTATTGACTTCACCTTCGAGCGCACCGGCCACTTTATCGACTCGCGCCTCTGGCACGAACGCAAGTCGGTGCCGCGGTATCCGAACCTGAAGTATGCCCGCTTCCTCCACGCCCCGGCGTGCATGACGCCAGACCCCGAGGAGGATGAGGACATGCGAATGCAGCCGCTTCCGACAGTGATCGTGCCCCGCGTCGCTGGCTGCGACTACGCCAAGCGCCGCGGTGGCATGGACACCGTCTTCGTCCACAAGGGCACGAAGCACGTAACCTTCCCGACTGCTGCGAAGCCGACCGACTCTGTGTGGGAGACCAAGCTCCAGGTCTCTCCTCGCCAGAGCGTTGACGTCACGATCCTCGTCCTCGACCGCCCTGAGCAGGATGCGGCTGCCACTGAGACAAAGGAGGACAGGACAACCCTCCCCATGCTCCAGGCCACGGTGCGCCAGCTGATGGAGGAGCATTACGCTGGTCACCTCTCGTCTGCCTCGCTCGTCGGACTTGAGAACTGGCGCACCTCGATTCCCACTCTGTCCGATAAGCAGTGGGACGCCCTCATAGCCCGCCGCATCCGCGAGACTGCTGAGAGGGGAGAGTATGCCGACTTCGACGTCTCAGCCTTCCTCTCTGCAGTCAAGGTCAAGAGCACGACTGAGTGGCGCGAGGAGGTCGGGGAGGAGGAGTACGAGCTTTCTGAGAGCGCCTACGACCCGCACCGCGCATGGCTCATCCAGGAGTGCGGATGGGATCCGAAGGCGGTTAAGGTTGAGCCAGTGCCCCAGACCCGCCCGACGTCGTCCGACCCTAGATTAGCCTTTAACACCTAGACACTATAGACTACGACCTCTTATAATCACATGTATCATGTATTATCATGTATCACTAGCAAGCAGCTGTTGAAGATGCGTTTCAGGACTGGATGCGGACAAGAATAGCGTACAGATCACAGTGACCGAGTGGCCGGGATGAAGCGGGCGGACTGTCAAGGAGGGGCGAGGTGAGGGCGCAGCTCAGGTACCGCTAGTCCCACTAGTTGGCTCTGCAACATCCGGACAAGCACGCACCTGCTATCCATAGCGCTTCGGCCGTCACATCATCGTCGATACTGGCTTTCACATGATCCAAACTGCTCTGCAAACAACAGCAAAAGAGTTGCTTCCCTTTCAGGAATCATCTGCTGCCCCACACGGGCTCGAACCGTGGACCTCGGAGTATGTTAATAGATAACAGCTCCACGCGCTAGCCAACTGAGCCATAGGGCATTTGGCTGATCGCAGCCGCCATCGCTTAGTCATGACTACTGGCCAAAACGCAGAGTGATGAAGTGAACAGCAGTTATAATGGTCTGCTCGCCTTTGACGGCCCGCATCGTACAGCTGGACCTGGCGGCGGTGGGTAACGTTGGAGGGTTTGACCGTCAGCTAGCCAATCAGACCATCTCTTCACAGTGCAAGCCCTGGGATACATCAAGACTATTGTACACGAGCTACCACAAAAGATCAGAGAAGAAGGGAGAGAGCAATGGCGGAGAGGGTCAGGCCGCCCGCGGCAGAGAGCTTCATGCCAGCGTTCTTGTCGGTTGACTGTCCGTTCTTCTGGCCGGAGCCAGTAGCCTGCGGGGCGTCATCCTTGTCGACGGCGGTGTGGTTACCCGTTCCGAGGTCGACGATGGTCTCATTGGAGTAGATCTGCCAGTACCAGGGGAACTTGTCCGTTCCCCAGAGGTCCTTGGGGCACTCGCGAATCTCGTTCCTCTGGCCAATGTTAAACACATCGTCCTTGGGCGAGTTCTCGTTCCACTGCGTCCAGTTCAGGCCAGCCTTGGTCGGATCGCCGTTTTTGATGAAGCTGGCCCAGGCGCCGTGGATCTGCGCACCCCAGTTGGCGTACTCGTCCTCCGAGTCCTTGTCTGTCGGCTGGCTGTTGAATGTGGGGTAGACGTCGTCGCCGTGGCACACCACATTGTTGCCCGAGCAGTACGTGCCGTTGTCGAAGGTGTACTGGATGCCACGGTTCCACTCGCCAATCCAGATCTTGCCGCCCTGCCTCGCCCACTCGTGGCCGATAGCGCGGGTCGCGCAGCGCCATACGACGTCAGTGATACCGACCTCGAGGGCCTCGCGCAGGCCGTCAGAGTTGTTCGGCATGCTGTAGTGTCCCGAGTTGATAATGTAGTCGACGCGCGTCTGGTTGTGCTCAAACGACTGCAGCGAGAGGTTGAACAGCATGTCGTTCGCCGAGATGTTCACCTGCGCAACAGCGTCGACGAGGTAGCCTGACTCGTTGCGGGTGGTCGTGATCAGGAGCGGGATCTCGCTGACGTTGAAGGCGAGGTTGGTGTTGTTGTAGAACAGAGCGTTGGCGGGGTCCTGCGGCAGCGACTTGGTGCCGTACGAAGGGCGGAAAACCTCTCCCTGCGTCACGCTGAACACCTTCTTCGGCCCGAGGGTGTTGACGGTGTCCGAGGCGTTGATGACGAGGCTGAGATTCGCATTCTGCCAGCACGCAAAGTCGGTGCAGTTCAACTGCGCCAACATGGTACCGTTGCCGGCCGTGTTGTTGTAGACGAGGTTCTGGAGCGCCTCCGTCTCGTCTGGACCCTGCGTGCCAATCGTGATCGGGTCAGAGTGCATGATGAATCCGCGGTAGAGCCCCTTGGCGGCAGGGGTAGCCCAGAGCGCGCGGGTCATGGAGGCACCGGCGGACTGTCCGCCGACCGTGACAGCCGCGGGGTCACCGCCAGCAGCGCCAATGTTGTCGCGGACAACCTCGAGCGAGGTAATGATGTCGTGGAGAGCATAGTTGGGGTCGCCGCCGGTCGGGGCGACGGGCGGAGGAAGATGTCCGAGAATGCCGAGGCGGTACTGGGTGAAGATAACGATGATGTCGTCATTGACGGCCATCGAGGTACCGTTCAGACCCTTGTCGGATGCCGAGCCGCCGACGTACGACCCGCCATGGATCCTGCCGTCAGCTGTTTTGCACTTGCGTAATCCGCGCCGTAACCGTCTCAGGACGAACGGTTAAACCTCCGAGCGACAACGGGGAGCCCGCTTCGCAAACGAGGGGACATCCTGCACTACTCTGGCGGAGCGATCGGGCTGAACTCATAGCCGAACAAGTCACAGATCGCGGCGCAAAGCGCACTCACCAGTAGAAAACGGGCAGCTTCGAGTCCTTGGTGATGTTGGCCGGCGTGAAGATGGTCATGAACTGGCAGTCCTCGCTCATGGGCTGGAAGTCGGCTTCGGCCGGCTCAAGGCGGTTTTTCTCGCCCTGGGCACACATGGGCGGGAACTTCGCCGCATCGACACCACTGCAGGGTCAGCTCAGTACGTGCATCTGCGAGCTCACGTCTGGTTCTGCGCATGAACGGGGTACTCCCAGCGACCGGCCGTCGCATAGCGGACGGTGTAGCGGCACGCACCGCCGTCCTGAGTACCAGTAATGTCGGTGCCGTTCCAGGAGAGGGTGCAGCCATCGCGACGAGCGAGATCGAGTGTGGGCGAGGCGAGTGCGCCGGCGCCGAGAGCCAGAGCGGCGAGGGTCTTGGTGAGCATACCTGCTGAGACCGCCGGTGAAGAGGTGTAGAGGTGGTGGGCAAAGGAAGAGGACGCGACCCCTGCCCATCAGCCCTTATATGCGGCGTCTCGCTACTGGCACACCAGGGAGAGCTGGAACGGGGACGTATCTCCATCCGGATCTGTGTCACTTGCAAACACGCTCGAGCCGCTCCGGTGCAGATGCTCCGGCATTGGACTGCAGAGTCTCAGACTCCGATTGAGTGCTCAGGTCCCCGAGCCGATGAATACGCAACCAGAGTTAACCTTGAGGCTCAGGCGCCCAACCTAATATCCTGACTTGTGTGGTTCTGATCCTGGATAATGCATCTCTCGCGGTGCATGCCGTGCGGAAGCTCCGGTACGCACTGTAGCTTATGTCTCGCAGCCTGATCGGTAGCTGAAGAACCGACGAAGGGAAGAAGCCGCACGACACAGACATACCGCAATGCGCATGAAGTACTCACCGCACGGTGGGGTGGTCTTCACCCCCGAAATAGACATCCCAAGCAAGTGGGCTTGCCCGCAGCTGAAGGACGTGAACGTGAACCCTTTGGAGCGCCCACGGGGTCTTGAAGTTTCCTGACCTTGCGCCTGAATACTTGGGCGGCGCTCCCCCACATTGAGCTTTGCCCCGAACACGAGACGTTCCACATTCTTGTAAGGCTGTTCTCTTTCCCCCACCTCCTGTGCCTGTCCTTCGGCTCTTGCTTCTCTGTCCCGCAGTAGTTGCCGCTCGCCGTTAAGGGGCATCTGCTCCCAATTGGAGCCCAGTATGTATGCTGCGCAGAAGAGTCAGGGTGGCAGAACACCCAAGATACCGTACCATGGAAATGAATTACAGCCGAAGAGGATGACCCCGCGATGAGCGGTCGGATATTCTCTATCCGCTGACTGGAATCGTCTCCCCATCGGGGTCGATATGGTCTGTGCTCGCATGCTCATGTCTCAGCCAGGTGTCAGCTGGCTTAGAAATGTCGTCGGAGTTCAAGACAGACACCGTGTCCGGGTTTGAGCCCCCTGCCCCTGTGCAAGATGCCATCGAAGCTATAACCGAATCCAACTCTAAACCAGAGTGCGCATGCTAGGCGTACCTCTCGGTGTGTGCGATTCCGAGAGCGATTCCTCACTGAATTGTCGGGCCCTCAGCGTGAGCGTCTTCCAAGTCGGAGAGTACACCGGGTTGACCCACAGCGGCCACATGCGATCGCAGCCCGGCCGACAACATTTTATCTAATCGGGGTGAGACACCACGCGATCCGAGCGTACATCCACATCCGCAATGCCAGTAAGGTACACCGCGGTCCTTGAACCACCAAGGAGCTCGATTGCCTGCGTTCCAGCTGTATTGACTACACTATCCAACGTGCTCTGCAGCCAAGCTTCTGGCGACCGAAGCATTTGGGGACTTTAGCTTGGCTGTCAAGGAGTCCGTAAGGACATCTACTAGCGCGCAACGATCACTTTCGCAGCTACAAATCCCTGGACACTGTTGGAAGGAGCTCACCAAGCGTCGGAAGGCCAACATCCGAACATGACATTGCGGTCTGTCTTGAGCGATCGCTCCAGAAACAGCGGGTAGCAGGCTAGACAGCTCAAGCTTTCGGCATTTGGTTGGGCAAGGCGAGACGGATCCCAATCTGCACCTCGGTGACGGTCCCACTTCTTCATTGTCCGATCGTCTGATACGTGCCAGTTGCGCCTGCGTGCCGGTCGCGCCTGTAAGTGGAGGAAAGAGGGCAAACACGGGAACACTACTCCTGCGACTGCCATAGTCCGCCTGGGCGTTTGGAGCATCGATTTGCGGCTCTTCTCCGTCGTTCTTCCCTCATCCTTGGTCGAAATGGGGCCCCACAGTCGGTGTTAGACCAACCAGTACCAGGCTGGCTGACGTAGCTGGCGTGGACGATCCGATGCAACTCTTGATCGCGCAACACTCTTCACTTCGATGAGCTCTGACACGGCTGTGTGGGTGACTGTACTGATGACATACTGACTGGCAGCCTTCTCGATGCAGCTAGCTTTCCGTCGATCATCGATTCAATACTGCAGGAGGCGACTTACAGTTATGACGTCTCAGCCCTCCGTCTCGTGTGCAAGGACTGGAAGTCTCGCATCGATCGAGATTTAGCCCGACACGTAGAGGTGCGCGACTTCTGGATCCAGATAGGCGGCTTGCGGCCCTACTTCCGCGGTCTTCTGGAGCGCGCAGATGTTGGTCTCGCCGTACGATCGTGTCTGCGCCCGGGCATCCACTTCGGCCTGTCTGAACCGCTTTATTACTCGCTCGATCTGGGCAGAGACGTCCTTCGCGAACTCCGCCCATCATACCTGTACAAGATGGTCGAGGTGTTGGATTACGCTTTGGGTACGGACCACATCCATCCGTCTCTCGGCCTTAAGCTTGTGCAAGGCTTTCCGAATCTCCACACGATCCGACTCAGCGTCAACTTCAGCAACTTGCAGTACCTCCAGCACGTGGACCGAGTCATCTTCAAGGACCGCCCGATGTGGACCATTAGAGACGACCCGACCAGCAAGGTCACATGCACGCCAGATTGTACCCGGCCGCACGTTCGCAAGATCGTCGTAAATGTCAACCTCCCCGACTTGCGCGATACAGTCATGGGCGGCGGCCCTCTGCCCTTCGACAGCAGCACGGGGCTCGAAGAAGTCGTGCTCATCTTCCACGCATGGATGATCATTCCCGACGTGCTGCGAGACACAGGGGACGACCAGCCACAGGATCTCCGGTTCACGGTACGCGCGATCGCCGCGGCGGCCATGGTCGCCGGTGCGCGCGTCACAGTTGTCAACGCCGAACAACGTGATCTGGTGTCGGGCGAGAAGACTGGCAACTTCCCCGATGCCGAGAACGCGGACGAGGAGCTCGAGTATCTCATCCGCCAGGACCTCAAGCATTTCGGCGTCGGCATGTTCTTCGGCAAACCTGGGCAACTGCGCTTCCTGACGACGGAAGAGTATGTCGCCCAGATCGGTCCGCGCGAGTTCGAGATCGAGAGTGGTGCGAGGGTCGGCGACTACTGACTCCCTCTCACCGGCTCCGACTTGGAGCCCACTTAGGGTCATACTCCCGCTTTGCCACTTCAAGTTCGCCAATAGCTGCGGTCTCAACGGGCATAGAATGGGTCGTTGTGAGTCAACCGTGTGACAGTGGCAGGACCAATATGGCTTGGTCGTTAGTGCCAAATTGTTAAGCCGCGGCACAATGCTCGTCAACATTGAACAACGGGCTCCTCTTCAATCTCTACATCCATCACATCAACAAGAGTCATCTCACAAACATGACTGTAGGACACAAGCGGACTCGCAGCGAAGAGAGCGAAGACCGCGCGAGGTGAGCGCTACCGTGACTGAGGATGGGAAGCTTACTGACACTACAGCCAAATCGACGCCCTCTATTACCCACACATCATCGATGTTATTCTGGATTACGGCTCCAGGGACAACGCCGAGGTGCTCAGTCAAGTTTGCCGAGATTGGAAATATCGCGTCCACAGGCGGCTCAGATCGCACGTCTTGATTTCCGAAGTTGAGATCGAGGGCCGCTTCTGGGGCGACAATGGATGGGAGCTCACCACCGCGCGCCCACCGCATTTGTTCGTGACAATGTCCTCAGTCCCTCTGCAGCGCTCGATCGATACTGGGAGGGACCCCCTGGAACACTTGACAGCTGAAAGGCGGGAGGGAATCCACGCGGTCGACGTCCGTGCTCTCTTGGACACCGACTACCACTACCTCAAGTTCATCGATGCGCTTCCGAATCTTCACACCGTTAGGCTGGCGGCTGGATCATTGCTGCGCAACGTCGGGAGGCTCTCGCACATTGAGCGTATAGTCGTTAGCGACCCAATCGACCTGCCGCAAGGGTCAGGGCCATCGCCGGCCCCGTGCCGGAGAATGGACTGTAAACGACAACACACGAAGCGGCTCGTCATCAACTTGACCAAGCCGGCGTTGCAGCTTTACCCCTCTGGCGCACTCTTCGGCAGACCGCAGCCCGAGGAGGTCGTCATCATCCTGCACCCGTGGACCGAGCCGCCCTGCTTCCTCGCACTCGACCCACAAGCGATTGCAGTTGTCATCGCTGCCCATGCCCTCAGCACCGGGAGCCATGTCACGGTCGTAAACCCAGAGCACATCGACCTGTGTACTGGCGCGTACATCAGTCATTTCTCGCCGAATCTGAAGGGCGCGGCGATGGAGTTCGCGAATCTCCTCTGGGAGGAAGCAAGGAGACGTCACGGTTCGGTCGAAAGTTGGATAGGGCGGTTGCACTTCTGCACGGCTGGGGGTTATGCCGCCGCTGTTGGGTCCGACGAATTCGAACTGGAGAGCATGCTTGATTGGTAGCGAGTGGCGAGGAGATCACGGGAGCGGATCGTGTTCATCCGGCTTGGGCTGCGCACCCGCAACGCACTTGCCGCTGTCCGTAGCAGCGATGTGCATGCGGTGCATTCCATGGGAACTTTAACGTGCACACAGGCAGTTGCGGATGACTTGTGTTTTTCCACTGACCGCGAGCACCGGAAGGCTGGATGCTGCTACGGAGACTAGTGCGACGGCCGGCTCTCATGAGAAGAGCTCCCTCACAAATCGGTGACCTATATTACAGCAGCTGTCTATCCCCTTATTGCCGGATCACTCATCCCATAACCCATCTTGGACAATGTCTTCTGATGACCCCAACCCGAAGCTGTGCCCCCAAACTCCCTAAGTGTGAGTGACCCTTTGAAGAGAGCGACTGACAAGCAGTGTGATCGATGCCGCCTACTTTCCTCACATAGTCGAGGCGATCGTAACCTATGGAATCGATCAGGACGCAGCAACGCTGAGGAGCATTTGCAGGGAATGGAAGCGCCGGGTGGACCGCAAGCTTGCAGCGCATGTCTCAATCAGCGCACTTATGGGAGATCGCAAGGTTGACGAGGGGTCTTACAAGGCCGCATTCTGGCAGGTGAGGTCCGCCCGCGCACCCCATGCACTGTTCGCCGAGGGCACTGTGCCTGTACAGTTCGCTCCCAGGATTGTCAGCATTCAGCTAGAAGACTTGGTGTCCCATGATGGCTTGGGACATGTGATGGAAGTGGCAGACATCCAGTTCGATCAACCCGAGTGGTTGTGGAAGTTGCTCATCAGTGGTCTGCCCAATCTACGCACTGTGAGGTTCGGGCTCGGCCGCTTCATGCGCAGCATAGGAGCTCTCCCGCACACTGAACGGATCATAATGGATAGCCCCGTTGAGGATCGCTTCTTGAGTACGCCGATAAGGTGCCACGACTGCCCAGGACCACACACGAGTAAGATCGTGGTCAACCAGCGCGACCCCGAATGGGAGATAGGGCGCACGGGCATCATCTCAAAGCTGCCTGCTGTGCAAGAGGTCGTCATCATCCTCCATCCCTGGACAATGCCGCCCAAATCTCCCAGTGGACAGGACCCACGCTATGGGTCGACGGCCATTGCTGCTAGAGCGCTTCTCGACGGACGGAGGGTCACGGTAGTGAACATCCAGCAACTCGACTTTCGCACAGGCGTGCCCGGAGGACGGTACCCCACCACCAGCGTGTATGGCGCTCTGCAGTTTGTCGAGCTTGTACGTAGCAATCTCAGGCGGTGGTGCGAGCGTTCGAGGGTGGAGTGCTGGGAGCAACTCCTGCGATTCAAGTCGGCGCAGGATTACATCGAGGAGATAGGGTGGGAGGCATTTCAACTCGAAGCCATGCTCGATTGGAACCCTGTGAGCCTTAGTAGTGCGCACGAGACTGGACTTGAGAAGCCAAACGCGAAAGCCAGGTTAGTAGGGAGCTTGATGCATCTTCTGGAGCGCCGTTGCAATGTGTTGGCCTTAGTTGGCGTCCCGAGAATGTGTAAAACAACCGCACGGAGATCCGCGACGACCAGCGGTCCCAATGCTTGGACACACTCTCCCCCGCCGTAGTTTGTCTGTCTGTCTCGACCACAAATACCTCCTCCAGAACGTTACCCCTCTCGTTGCAACACCTCCCGCCATCCACGCACAGCCAAATAACGCTGATGAGGAACCGGCAGCGTCCCTCGAACGGCGACAAAGCGCAGTCCCAGCCGTGAGCACCGTGCGTGCCTGTTTTCCTTGCTGACGAGATCAGACTGTTCGACGCAGCGTACTATCCCCACCTGATCGACTTCATCCTCGACTTCTACGTCGAATCCGACTTGAATGCGTCTCACCTCCGGCTCGTGTGCAAGGACTGGCGCAGGCAGATCGATGAGCTGCTTGCTCGCTTCGCGGAGGTCCAGGTGTTCACCGGGCCCAGGATGCCCGGCAAGTCGGCGCGGCAACTGTGGATGGTGCGCTCGTGTCGCAGCCCCCAGGTGACTCTGAGCTTGACGCCCCTTCACCTCAAGCGCACGGATGGGAATGTAGAGGGACAGGAGACTGACGGCCCGGAGAATCCATTCCTCTTCATGCCGAGCTTCATTGGTTCGTCGATCCGTATCCTCAACCTCGTTGCTCTGGTCGATTTGCAGCCGACTGAGCGCATCTTTGGCTCGTTGCCCAACTTGCATACCGTCATCCTGCACGCTCCCAACCTGGACTATGCCTGTGCCTTTGCCCATATCGACCGGATCATCTTCTCCCAGGCGCCTCGGCCGGGTCGAAGATTGGATGAGAATTATGATTCACATCCGTGCCGGTTGGTGACAGGAGTCTCAGACGCCCGAACACCACAACAGTTGCAGCAAGGCAACCGGCCGTTATGCTCCAGGAAACACACTCGCAAACTCGTCATCAATCAAACGGCGTCCTGCTTTCAGTATGCCTTCGTGCAAGTCTACACCCCGCCTGTCCAGGAGATTGTCATCATCTTGTGCCCATGGACCACCAGCGTGACCCGCGTGCTGGCCGGCTTCTCCGACCCCAGGCAGTGTGTAGTCCCGTTCGTCCTGCGCGGCCTCCAAATCGGCGCCAAAGTCACCATCGTGAATCCGGAGCAGCTCGCCTTCGAGTCGGGCGCCCCTACGAGTACCAACCGGCCCAAAAAATTCACCAAGAGCTCCGCTTCGCTGAAGAGCATGATTGAGAGATTTGCGTCCCTTAAGCCCCCACGGTTCCTTGCACCTCTGTCCGACCCCGAGTGCGAGCGCGCCGTCTTGGACATACAGCGGCTGTTGCGCATCATCGACACACCAACTTATGTCCAGGAAATCGGCTGGCGGGAGTTCGAGATTGAGGCGTGCCTCCGGTGTCCCACCGTGGAGCTCGTGTAGCGCACTGCCAGGTGGGCTCCTGGCCACCGCAGTGTGGCTAAAAGTACATGTCCGTACATCTCCCTGTCGTACACTGTCGATGCAAATCTAGTTCTCCTTCTGCTTCTTGTTCGCTCCTTCCTTGGCCGCTTCGCGTTCCCGCTTGCGGGCGAGGAACCGCTCACGCGCCTCCTGTCTCCTCTTCTCCGCCTCTCCGTCCGCACCTTCTCTCCTCCGGCGGGCACGCTCCTCGGCTTCCTCCTGCTCCTGCCTCTCGCGCGCACGGCGACGCTCCTCCTGCTCGCGCACCTGCTCCGCAAGACGGCGACGCTCGCGCTCCATGCGCTCCTTGTAGCTGGCGGCGGTACCGACGGCTCGAGAGACATAAGGTTGGTCATTCTCTGTCGGTTTCGAGCGCTGGCCGGAGAGAAGCGAAGATGGTGCAGGCGAGGGCTTCTTGGTGATGTTCAGGCCCGCCTTCAGTAGTGTCCGCTTGTCAACCACCTCGCCGTCGTCATTCACCTCGACTGCCTTGCCGCTCGCCTTGCTCGCCTCGGCTGCAGCGGCGGCCTTCATCTCGCGCGCGAGCATCGGGTCATACTCCTCCTCCTCGTCCGCCTCGTCCTCATCGCGTTTCGTCGGTGGCTTAATGGCAAGCGACGGCCCAGAAGGAAGTGACGGTCCAACAACGCGCCCAGAAGCGGCGGCCATGGCGGCGGAATGCTTCGCCTCGTCGCTGTCGAGCATAGACTTGTACAGTGTCGTGAGTCCTGGTCCCTTGTTCGACCTCTTCAGCGCCTCTGCACCAATTAGCTATGCCCTCCGAACGGTAGCTGCGGAGACTCACCTTCGCGTGCCTTCTCTTCCTCCTCAGCCTTGCGCACTTCCTCCATCTGCTTCTTGTACGCCTCGGTGACAAACTTCTCCTTGTCGTCGAACTCGTCGCCCTCCTTCTCACGCTCTCGCTGCAGCATCTTCTCCTCGGCGCGGAGGCGGTCGAGTTTTCTAGTCTGCGCGGCTGCCAGGAAGCTCTCGATGTACTTCGGTTTCGTCTTGTCCTCGCTAGCTGCTTTAGCCTCCTCCACTCGCCGCTCGGCCGCCTTCATCGTGTCGTAAACGCCATCATAGTCGAAGACGCTTGCGTCGAGCGCGAGAGCAGCTTCCTGAGCCTTTCGCTCGGAACGAGAGAGGAGCGCCGGCTTCTCGGCAGCAGGCTTGCGTTCCGGAGGCTCGTGAAGATTTGGCTTTGACTTGCCTTTCGGCTTCTTCAGACCGCCAGAGCTTGTCGAGGGACCGCCGAGCGTGTCGGGCGCATCGTCGTCATCGTCATCATCGTCGAAGGCGAGCTTAGGCTTGGCAGACTTCGCCGGTCCGCCCTTGGCCTTTGCCATGAGGAGCTCCATGTTTGAGGGCGTCTTGCCCAGCGAGATCGAGATGCCGGACATCTTGCGCAGGAGGTGTGATGTGGATGCGATCGATCGGTTGACGAAAACAACGTTCGAAGCTGGTGTTCGCGACTTTGGGTGGCAAAGTGGAGGTTAATAGCGGGAGCAAATTCAGAATAGGGCGTAGGTAATTAATCGGTGAATACCTCGGTTTCTAATGAGCGACCGAACCGGATCTGGTCAGTGGCCGATAACGTCATCGCGGGGCGTTCTGTCCACATGTCTGCTTCTTGACGACCACCCGGCGACGCGCCTTTGACGCCAGATCGCTGCAACTCAAAGGACCAAAGAGGCTGGTTCGTGAACGCAAATTCTCTTTGTTCGCCTCACCACTCTCCTACTATGCGCTGGCTCCCCATCCTGCTGGCGCTGGTGGCGACCCACGTCGCCGCCGAGCAGGATCAAGCTGTCTTCAACAATGACCAAACGGCCCATCCCATCGATACCGCCGAGGTGCGGCCCAAGCGTGTTGCCATCATCGGTGCTGGAGCCTCAGGCGCTGCCGCCGCCATGTTCATCAACCGTGCAGCGCGCGAGGCCGAACTGCAGCGGGGTATGAAGAAAGGAGAGCTTCTGGGCGACCTCGTCGTGTATGAGAAGAACGACTATGTCGGCGGGCGTGAGTTAGAGCACATGTATTGCGCAACTGACGCTTCAGGTAGCACAGTGGTGTATCCGCATGGGGACAAGAAGCTGCCCCACGTCGAGCTCGGCGCGAGCATCTTCGTCTCCGCCAACCAGAATCTCGTTGCAGCCGCTAAGGTATGTCCAGCTGCCCTCCCCGCAAAGCCCAGCTGACATTGCAGCGCTACAACCTGACCATGGCGAACCCCGGCTTCGCCGAGGACGGTACCGGAATCTGGGACGGGTCCGTGTTCCTGTTCCAGACGTCTGCGGAGAAGTCGCGCACCGCAGGGTGGTGGGACACGCTCGCCGCATTGCGACGCTACGGGCCCCTGTCGCCATGGTACCAGAAGCGCAGCGTGGACAGGCTCAAGAGCAAGTTCGCCAATCTGTACGATGCGAACTGGGTTGCAGCGCGTGGCATTGTCAACTCTGTTTCCGAGTTTGCCGACTCTGCAGGACTTGGCATGAGCTACACCTCGCGCAGTGGCGAGGATTGGGCGCTCAACGAGGTCGGCGTCAATGTCCGCTGGATGACCGAAGTCATGGAAGGCACTACACGAGTCAACGTGAGCTAGGAGAAGTTCAACAGAGCTAACGTCCAGTATGCGCAGGACATGATCGACATTCACGCGCTCGGTGCCGCTGTTGGACTGGCGGCAGGTGGCGCAGCGTCCATCGCCGAGGGCAACTACAAGCTCTTCGAGGGCATGATAAAGGAGAGTGGCGCCGAGCTGCGTCTCAACACAGTCGTCGAGGAGATCAAGCTGGACGCCCGCCGGGGTCTCACGGTCACCACGAACAGCAGCGAGGACGCGTACGACCAGGTTTTCTTCGCTGCGCCCTGGCACTTGTCACCCGTCAGCAAGGACTTGGAAGCTCATTTCGACGTCCCCATTCCGTAAGCTGCCAGGGTGGGTGGATATAGCTGACTTCTCAGACGCCAGGACTATGTCAACCTACATGTCACGCTTCTGACGACGACGGAGCGCACCCCCTCACCAGCTTACTTCGGTCTGCCCGAGGACGCGTCTGTGCCGACTACGATTCTGACTTCCAACTACTACCACCGCACCGGCCGTACACCGGCTCCGAGGTTCAACTCGCTTTCATACCACAGCGAAACGTACCCAGGCTCGGGAGAGTGGGTTGTCAAGCTGTTCTCGCGCGAGAAGATCTCGAACAAGGACCTCGAAGACATCTTTGGTTCGGCTCCAACGTGGGTCTACCGCAAGCTCTGGCAGAGCTACCCCGAGCTCCGCCCTGGCCCCAACTACGCCCCTGTTTCGCCCGTCAAGGGGCTCGAGTACCTCGCCGCCCAAGAGGCTTGGGTTTCAACGTGAGCAGGATTCCATGGATAGGTGAGCTGACAACAGAATGGAGACACAAACGATCTCGGCCCGCGAGGCTGTCGCTCGCGTCGTGAATGACTGGTGGGACCTCAACCCCGGCGAGTGCGGCAAGACGTCTTGGGACTACACGTGCCCCGAGCCTGATGGAACCTAGGAAACACCAGATTGTTCTGAGCTCTGATTTTCTCTGTTGTAAATACCCTTGTTTTCCTCATGTTTGCATGTCAACGTTCTGTGATGGAAAGAAGGTCGCGCCGGCGTAGTGTGAACAATGATGGACAAGCTTCGATACCATGAACCTCGAACCTCGCAGTAAGGCAGATAAGGCAATCGAATGGTGGACACGCTAAGTGTGACCTCGAGTGGCGAGAGTGTGCATCTTTGCGCCCATTACCCCCAGCACTGAGACTGCGCCCTCTGCCCTCTGCCTCCACACAGTCCACTCACGCACACCTCGACACTCGTGTCATCGTCTCTTCTTCCTTTTTCTCACTCACTCACTCACTCACCCACTCCTCCCTTCATCTTGTTGTCCATTTCTCGCTTCACGATGCCTCCGAATACCCGTAGCAGCAAGCGCAGGAGGCTCTGCCAGCCCACGACCCCGGACTCGCCAGCTGTACCCGGCCGCTCGGCAATCGAGCGACTCCCCATCGAGGTGACTTGTTGTCATCCACAGCTTGAACTGACTCCAGATTCTCCACCATATCCATTTCTCGTGCCCCAGTCGCCTGCCCCAGTGCTCCAAGACGCTCCTGCATTACTTCTCTCCGCCGAACCTACCTCTGTGGCCCACTATCGAGTACATCCTGTCTGCGCCTTCCCTCCACTTGCAGCCATCGAACGCGGACCGTACAATCTGGTTCCTGCGACGAGCTTACCTCCACACCGAGGACTTTGTTGAGGCTTTCGTGGCAGCTATGTACTTGGAGCCAGGAGCGCCATACGAGGAGGAGCTGCTGTCTGACCCGTTCTTCGACCCCGCGCACTTCTTCCTCGCCGAGGACGCCACGCTGCCCGACAAGCTCGTTCACTTCATCTATCACACATATCCGACTGATAGCTACCTGCTGGCAGAAGCAGCGGTGAGGGACTTGACTGCAGGCCGCGTCCGGCGAGCCGAGCAGCTCTTCTCTGTCGGCGCTGTTCCCACGCTCGCACCGAACGACGTCTTCCACGCCGCCACATGCGCGGAGCTCAAGGGTGTTTCAGGCGTCTCGAAAACCTATCCTTCCGAGCGGCTGCTGGCCTGGAAGAATAGAGATGTCGAGCGCACTGTGTGCAGCTGCGGATTTGATGCTGGGGCGGAGGCCGCGAACGTGTTGGCGCACAGCGTATTGGCCATGGCAAGTGAAAACGTGAAGCCAGCGCAAGCCGTGAAGCTGCTCCAGGGCAAGATCCACGATCTGAGCACCAACAGGTGGGAACGGGTGAACGGCAATGCTTCAGTCGACCATCCCCGCCACATCCTTGAGATCGACGACGAGATCGAGTACGCCATGGACAAGGTGGCCTTTGGGTCGTGCAGATTCATGAAGTACTGGATGATGCCGTTCAATGGCACGATTGGAAAGTATGCGCACCCTCTTTCTGAGCTCATGGAGGACTTCGAGCGCTGCGATAGGGATTGCCAGCACGGAGTCTCCATGACGCGTGAGTTCCTGGTCGCTTACGTTCTCGACTTGAAGAACCGCTTGTTGTGAGAGATGGGTTGTGGTCCTAGGAGGAAGTTTAGCAGTCATGTAGATGAAGGCTCAGTTGGATTGCAGCCATATGCATAGTGTCCTGTTACGAGTAAACAAGGAAATGTGAAGGCCCAATGGTGTACGTAGCATCCGGTGTGGTGCGCTGGTGAGAGAAGCCAGTTGGAGACACCGGGTCAGTAGGCTACACTGCAGTGTGCAAGAGTGCTGCGGCCAGTCATCCACAGTATCCAGCACGGGATCGTTGAACAGATGAAGACAAGGTAGTTTCCAAGGGAGCAGACGACGATCAGAGGCTGATGTGGTCCGTGACCCGATCGCTCGAGCAGACTGCGCGGAGTCGCGGTGTCCGGTTGACGGCCAGCCACGCGATGTCAACTGCGCCCTCTTGAGCACTCGACGTCCGCTGTTCGACAACAGCCAGTCCAATGCATTCCAGGAACCTCTAAACACTCGCTCACTCACTGCACTCGCTGCACTCCGCTCACCCAGTCATCCAGTTGATCCGTACTTGGTTTGCACCCGCCCACACGCCATGTCCATCATGTCTACAGACATCTCCTCCTCACACATCGTCAACGCTCGCCTTCCCCAACACCTCTCCTTTTCTTTCAACAGACCCCATTACTCTTCAACCACCATCTATGCCTCGCGGCAGGTTTTCCCTCAAGCGCAATGACCCCACCAACGGTCAGCCGCCAACCCCGGTTCTCCTCCCACCATCCCGAACACTCCCGCCACCCATTCGCGGCAAGTCAAAGCTCGAGCAGCTTCCCCTCGAGGTGAGTCACCTGCGCTCCATCAGCTGTGACATTGGGGACTGTTAAGCTGACCTCAGCTTCTGATGGAGATCCACTTCCTTCTCCCTTCCAAGCTGCCCGTTCTTTCCAAGACGCTTCTTTCCCTCTTCACGCCACCGGCACTCTCGCTGCGCCAATGCTTTGCGTACTTTCTCTCCACCCGCTCCTTCAATCGGTGCAAGGACAACGACGAGCGAGCCGAGTGGTTCTTCAAGCTGCCCGCCTTCCTCCAGACGCGCGAGGCACTCCTCTTCTTCCTACACGAGCTCTACTTCCGCCCCGATGCACCGTACGCCTTCACGCTGGCTTTCCAGGCACCGTTCGATCCCTGGCTCGTCGTCTTTAGCGATCACATTTTGCCCGCTCCCTCGATGTTGCACTTTGTGTACCACCATCTGCCCACAAGCGCATACCGCGCCTGTCAAGCAGTCTGGGCACTCCTCATGGCCGGCGAGTGGGAGTATGCAAAGGTGTTCCTCGAATGCGGTGCCGATCCGAAGGCAATGTCGCTGCGCGCGCTGAATGAGCACCGTTGGGTTAACACCACTCGCGTGGACGGTGTCCCTTCGCAACTGCAGCGCCGAGGTGAGAGCTGGCCCGTCTCCGACATTGCCTCTCGTACACTCTGCAGCTGCGGACACGAGTGCCACGCGCAGCCCGCTGGCCCAGCGCAGGCGGAGATCCTCTCGCTCCTGACGACAAACCGCCGCCGCCTCGCCAAAGGCGCGACGGACCGTTTCGCCCCCGCCCCCAACTCGCGTGTGAACGAGCTGGCTAAAATTGCCCCGCGCAGCTGGAAGATTAACCTCCACGACTTCATGCTGCCGCAGAACGGCACGGTGGGCCGCATCCCCACCCCCTACGCCGAGACGGGCCGCACCCTCATCTCGTACTCGAGCTCGAGGCACCGGAACAATCTCGCGGCCCAGTTTGTCGACGAGTACCTCGACACGCTGTTCAGGACGTTTGGGGAGATGTACACGCCACCAACGCAGGCGCCGATTCTGGCATCGGCGGTGCTGCCATCGACGGGCTCGCCGTGAAGCAACCCGACACTCACACCTCAAAAGTTTGCAGCATTGCATGAACACTCCGCAAGCATACGGCGCTTCTTCCACAGCACCTTCCCAGCATGCAGCATGTAACATACAGAGAACTAGACAGTCATCGTAGAGGCAAAAGCAAGATGTATCATACGAACTCGGAGCACGAACGAGGGACGAAGCGCACTCAGGGTGGACTGGGGGGTTATTTTCACACCACCTCTTAATCTTCTCTCACGAGACGACTATCAAAGTTCCCGCTCAAGCTGGGTAGTCTGGATACCCACACTCTCTCGAAATGACAGTTTTTCGTACATCAAAGCCCGACCGCCGGCCTCTTTCATAAAGCAGCATCTCGGTGTTCCTATCCGCGGACGTGTATATCGATGGTTGACCGCTCTCCTTCTTTCCCTCCGGCGGACAGGACAGACTGACACTCTAACCCAACTACGTTGCCTGCTTTTCGCCTACCTGCTAGCTAGCTACCACTGACTCGACTCGATTACCTCGTAGACCCCCCATCGGCCGGGCATACTGGCCTCTCAGACGTCGCGGACCGCCCATTCCGCCCATTGACACAGAAACAACGAAGAAGAGATTATAGGCTGCATAAGGAACTTATAGTCGTTACCAATATGCCCAAACAGGGATGACAGGGATGACAGGGGAGATGCGTGCGGATGAGAAGAAGTGCTGAACATGTGAACAGAAGTGTACGTCGAGTCGTCATATCAGTCTAGTCAGTGCTCCTCCCTCTCCCTCTTCAGTCCTCAGGAGATCTAAAGAGAGAGAGGGAGATACAGAGTGGAGCTAAGAGGTTTAGGCGAAGAAAGCAACCGCGGCGAGCGCAAGCACAGCCCCAGGGACGAGCTTGCCCGCCCCCGAGCTCGGCGCCGGCGAGGCCGATCCGCTGGGCTTAGTAGTGGCAGTCGCGTCCTTCTTAGACGCGGAACCCGAACCCGAGGCCGATCCCGTAGCCGAGGCGTCGTTGGCCGAAACGCCCGCGTTGACGGCGGCGTCGGGGGTGGCGGAGCCAGAAGCGCCCAGACGGGAGGGACCCGTAGGCGTCGCCGAGGCGCCGCCGGCGACACCGGGGGCAGGAGCACCGGTGGCCAGCGCGCCGATGCCCCAGCCGATGAGGGAGGAGCCGGCCGTCTCGGTCTTGGGCGGCGGGGTGGTCTCGCCGTTGGGCGAGGCGATCTAGAGTTAGCCAGTGTTCATCAGGATTGTGAGAAGGTGAGAGGGGGACGGTGTAGAGTGAGAAGGGAGAACAGGGAGGCACGGTTCGATGACTGCGCACTGCGCACTGCTTGTTCCATCGCTGCGGATCTGATGAACATGCTGCGGCCGGAATCTGGTTCTGTGTTTCGAAGCAAGAGCCAAAGCCAAAACATCCGATCGAGCGTGCCTGCCCTGACGAGTCTTGTCGATCGATCATATCGATCTCTTGAAGAAGAGGTGCACGAGAAAGCACAATGAGGCGGCACTCACAGTGAAGCGGGTAGTCCAGGTGGCGGGCTGGAGGTCGGGGCCGTTGTTCGTGCTGGCTGTTAGCTCTGGCATGTCGATAGCGAGGTATGGGACGGGCACAAGTCTAGCCTTTCCTCATCACCTCAGACCCGCCTCGGCGCCGCCTTCGACGGCGCACCAAACTCTACTCACAACTCGAAGAAGTAAATCTGGGAGTACGGGTTGACGTCAGGTACGGTCCACTCGTAAGCATTGCTCTTGGTGGCATCGACGCCCTCGGCAACAACAGTGAGACCCTTCATGACCTGGTTCGCGCCCGTCTTGAGCTGGATCGTCATGTTGGTCCACGTCGCCCCGGCGTCCCACTGGATCTTGATCTTGTCGCCGACCTTGGCGACGGTCCTGCCCGAGGGCTCGTTGGGCGTCACGCCGACCTCGGCCGAGGCGGAGGAGGAGGAGGAGCCAGAGCCAGAGCCAGAGGAGGGAGCGGAGGGCTCGGCCTCAGGCGCCGAGTCGCCGGCAGGCGAGGGAACGGCTTCGCCCTCAGACGAGGGCGTGTCGGCACCCTCGAAGACGGCGGGGGCGGTGTCCTCGGCGGCAGCGTCCTGCGAATAGACGCGCGCGGCGAGGAGGAAAACGGGAAGGAGGGACTTGACGAGCATGACGTGAGAGCGTTCGGCGTTCAGCAGGGAGGGAGAAGAAGAAGAAGTGAAGGGGGTATTAAAGAGCGACGAGGGAGGTAAAGAGCGAAAAGATCGTCGGATCGACAGAAGGCGAGGCGAGGGCTGGCGAGGTGTGTCGAGAGGTGACGAGGGGGAGGGTGAGAGGTGAGGAGGACAATGCAATGATGGGATCGATGGGAAGAGGGAGTGGGAGTGGGGTTTGTCGAGGGCACCTACTCTGCTTACGAGGACGGATGAGGGCCCGAGCGCCCGAGCACCGGGTCGCTGGAACGTTGGATCAAGAGTAGACGCGAGTGCGCGAGAGCGGTGCGCGGGAGGCGTCGAGCGCACGCTTTCCTTTCAGTCCATTGTCTGTTGTCCTGGCGGGCCTGAGTTTGGCCTGAGTTGGGGCGATGGTCCTGCAGGACAGCCAGACTCGAATGCCCCGTTCTGGTGCAGGCGCTACGCCCATCGCGCCGGTCTGACGCGACTGCAGAAATCTGGCTGGTCCGCTTACCTGAACTCTGGACCGAGCAGGAAGGCCCTGAGGGGCGCGCCTCCCTATTCATCCACAGGACATTCACGTGGCTGCAACGCACACTTTCTCTCCTTGTTCCCGAGTTCGCTCGGTCGGCGCGAAAAAGTCAGTCGCGCGCACCGCCTTTCTCCGCCTCTGCCAAGATCCACGACGATCGAATGCTCCACATCTCCAACACAGGAACGGACGGTTGTGCATCATGGCCGTTCACATCAAGTAATCTACAGATGGCAGAACGCAGATCATCCAACATAGAGTTCACATAAAATCAGAGCATAACATTTATCTATGGATGGCTGGGGTCTATTCATATAGGATTCGAGAAGCAACAATCACATAAAACACACAACACCAACACCGCTCACACGACAATAGCGAGCCCGGAGCCGGAACGATGAGCGCATTCACGATCCTGGATCTCGATCCAGATCTGGGCTGTGGAATCTCGCTGATCACACAACAGACGTCACAGAAGAGTGCTGCGATGCTCGCAGCGACCGCAGCACTCACCGCTTCACGCTGAGGACAGCGCCATCTTGCGACGACCTCCCTCTGCACCGGAGCGTAACAAGAGACCCTGTTATATACATTGCGCCAAGGGCGCGAGACATGCTAAAGGCGAGGTGCTTGGGGACTAGACTATGAAAAATGCAAATCATGCTGGTGCGAAAAACGTGCGGAATAGTGTGGAAATGCTTGTAGTTGTTTGCGTGCGGGTTCTTCTTTCGTACATTCAGTCTTCTTGTCGTTGTGAGTGCGAGAAGTGGTGAGGCGGAGCGACTGTGGATGCTCCACGACAACCCGCGCATTATGAGTGGAGGAAGTTGCACCGGTTGCCGAGCTTGCAGTTGCCGTGCATGCGGAAGAACTTGCACGGCTTCTTGGGCTGCGGGCGCGACCATCGGTTTCCCGTGTATCCGGGAGCGTCGCGGTTCCAGCCGCCAGGCTGGCTGTGCTGCTGATTGTGGTGCTGGTTGTGATTGTTGTATCCTCCGTTCCAGCCCGGAGCGTGGGCCTGCGACTGTCCTGCCGAAGGGCCATACGAGGGAGGGTTCTGGTAGTACTGCGCGTTGTAGTCGTAGCCTCCGCCGTAGGCTGGCGCGGACGGCGCGACCGCAGCAGGTAACGCACCCGTTAAGTTCTTGAGCAGGTCCGAGACGCGGTTCTGCGCCTGGTCGCCGGCTGTTCCGGGCGGAGTGGGAGTGACGGCGCGCACGCCGTGCATCTTGCGCGTGCTCGTGTCGGCTGTCACGACGCGCACCGTCGACTCGATCGGGGACGGCGGAATGTCGCTTGACGTGATGTAGCTGATCGGCTGGGAGGAGGACTCCCGCTTCGCCTGCACCTCGGACTCGGGCGTCGGGGCTGGCAGCTCTTCGGACTGTCCGTGCGCATAGGCTGGCGTCAGTTATGGGCAGTACCGCGAAAACTCACGCTTCGGTTCATACCACTCGATGACCTCTTCGATATCATCGTACACCGGCGACTGGTGCATGAGCTGTCCCTCCTGCGTGTCCAGGTCGTGGACAGACATGCCCTGTACGCCCTCCTGTTGGTCAACACTGAATTGATTGAGTTCACTCACGTCCTGGAGCCAGTACGGACGCTCCATCTCGTGCGGCTCTTGTTTGAACAGCTTGATCGCCTCGAACTCGCGACCGGCGCTTGGTGTCTCGTCGACCCAGCGCACGGCGTGGCCCTTCTTGTTGAGCTTGACGGCCGGCTTGGCCGGTTGCCGGGGAGGAGGAGCGGCAGCTGCAGGCGACGGTCGCGACGGCGGGGCAGCGGGCTTGGTCATCGGGTCCTCCTTCTTCAGCATCTTCATCGTCGAGGCCAGCAGAGAGCTGGTCGCCGGGACAGGTGCATCTGCTGCCCGCTTCGTGAAGTTTGGCAGCTTTGGCTTCGGCTTGGCGGCGGCTGAGGCGCTGTCGGACTTCGCGCCAAAGAAAGACATATCTGCGCGGCCGGGCACCTTGCTACCCGAAGCTGCGGAGGGCTTTGGAGTCGGCGCTGACCTGGTCGGAACAGCAGGCTTGCTGTCCAGCTTGCGCTTCTTCGTCACTTGCGGCGTATCGTCCTCCGAGTCCGAGTCGAGAGACTTCCGACGATTCTTCGGGAAGAGAACCTCCTTGCAGTAGTTGTCGTACTTGGCGTACGCTTTGCGGATCTGCGGAGTCGTGAAGAGATTAGCCTCGATGGCCTTGTCGACCGCCCTCTTCGCGAGCCGGCCAATCTTGAAGTCTTCCTGGATGTAGTTGACGGGCATGTCCGTGCGGCTGAGCACGTTGAGAATGGGAGCGAGCGAGACTTCCCACTTCTCCGGTTCGCGGATCGAGTTTCTGAGCCAGACGCGGAACATCTCCGTATACCTGTCGCTGTCGCCCATAGCGGCCAAGTAAGACGCAGTGGCGTGCTGCGAAAGCTCGGTCATGATATTGGCGAGCTGCTGTGGTGTAGGCTCAAACAAGGGCGGGCGCTCGTTGCCGTCATCATCCTCACGGAACCGCAGGTGTTTGAAGAGGTGTCCTGGCTTGTTCTGCTGCAGGACACCGGGGATAAGAAGCTTGTGGATCTCGCGCATCATCGCTCTGCTCTCTTCTGAGCCGTCGTACGTCTTTTGAGTGGCGTTCTTGACGATCGAGGACGAGTCTGTACGTCCCGAGTTAACGAATCTTTTCACTTCCTCTTCGGAGGCCAACGCCACGGACCCACGTTTTCTTCGGGGGATCAGGACCACTGGCTCTAATCTACGGCGGGAGGGACCGGGAACAGTACTACTATCGATGGGGGGCAGACCGACAGCGGGACTACCGTTTCGTGACGAGTCACCGGTGATAGGTGTGCTGGCGCCAGAGTCGTAGGACATGTCCACGTCGACGACGGGCTTGACCTCGACCAAAGGCTTCTCGTCTTTCACTTCGGCTGGAGGAACGGCTGATCCGTTCGACTGAGGACTAGATTGACTAAAGTCAATCTTGGCATCCCTCATAAGCTCCTGGATCTGAGGCTTGATGTCCACCGGCTCCTGATCGATCTCGATGGGCTCCGCCTTGACTTGCACAGGAGTCGGAGCGTGGACGCGGGAGGAGGACGGCCCCGCGGCACCGTGCGCCCCAGTGGGGTGCATGCCATATGACATCCCGTGGTATTGAGGGGTCAGGTGCTGCTGGGGTTGCAGTTGCTGAGAGAGTTGTTGCTGTAGGTGGTTGTAACCGATCGGGTCTGCTGGTCAGCCACTGCCACAAAGGTATCGAAGGGGTGTCGGGGGCACTGTCACGTGACTGGACTTGCCGGGAGGGGGGATAGGCGGGCATGACCCGTCCTGCCATGATAGGTGCGCTGAGCTCTGCGAGCATCCAGGCAGGGTGGCAAACCAATTTGATCCCGCCGTGCAGGCTTTGTGCCTGTGCACTCCCACGGTGCGATGCGCGAGGTCACGACAGGTGAGCCAGGCCCGACGCTCCGCATGCAGCAGCCGCCTGTACGCTCGCGCCTCTACGGCCGCGGCGAGGCGACGCTGTGTGCGGTGCGCGAATCTGTATCTCTGCGTTCGTCGACGCGTTCAAATCAGGATCAGGTGCAAGAGGAAGGAAGTCACAAATGGTAATGGCATAATCAACAGCACCTCTCCGAGTGCCGCAGTACTCGCCTGGTCCGCAGGCTGGTCAAACGTAACGTCAATACTAGACTCGTACTCACTGTAAATGCCCTCCGGCGTGAAACTCTGTACTGGTGTGACCGAGACAGACTGCTGAACCGGGGTGAACACTGGTTGGTGAACTTGGACTTGCGGGTGATGCACGGGCTGCTGCGGTTGCGGGTGAAGCTGAAGATGCTGTTGCTGGTGCGGCAGGGGGTTGAACGCATTGACTTGTTGCAGTGCTTCAATCTCCGACATGCCTTCAGCGACACGAGTTCGCCAGTGCAACCAGTCTTCGGGAGACTGCCCAGGAAGTATTGGGTGGGATGCAAGCTGTTGCTGGAGCCAGGCGAGCTGATCCGCGCTTGTGCTGTAGGTGCGGGAATCAAGGTTGACAGCGGAGGGAAGGGGGCGATCAAGGACGGTTCGACGGGCGAGCGAGCAGGAAGACGAGGCGGTACGCGAACGGCAGGGGTGGAAAGGAAGACGTGTAGCGGTGTTGTTGTTGGGAGGCAGAGGAATGTACGTGTGAGTTGTAATCCCCTACAGATGGTTTTATGATGCGTACGCGTACTTTCGTAGAGCCTGCAGGGCTGCTTCCATGTGTCGTCTTAGAATGCTTTTGTCCCACCTCAAAGGGCCTCTGAACCTCAAGTCGCACCTCGAGACTCGACTCGCCAGCAAGAGAAAGTAAAGGTCAAGACAGCTATAAACACGATGGCACGTTCGCCGCACAGATCAGAAGATCCAAAGCAGTGGAGATCCAGACTCGGGACTCTCTCAACACACTCCAATGGTTCTTTCCAGGACCGCAGCCACTGTAGAACAGCGCGAACACGGACGATGAGGTCTCGAAATCGCGGCTCTTGTGTACTGGATGGCTCCGGGCTCGACGAACGAGTCAATGGGTCACGAGGAAATCGGGATAGATGACAGTGGTGATGACAAGAGATGGCGGCGGCGATGGGCGTGCTTAGCTGAGTGGATGGACGGTCACAGCCCCACCTCGCTGAGGGCCGGAATTAGCACGAGTGGCACTTGATAGATTACGTGAGACCACGTGTGTTATCTCCCGTGGCGGGTCCGAGCTTCACCCTGGCACACCTGGCACACCTGGCACACCTGGCACACCTGGAGCTCGCTCCCTGGCCACCGCCGTTGCCGCCCTTGCCCGATCAATGACGCCGACGTGACCTGCATGACACCTGGCGCCAAGGTCTAGTCCGCGTCCAAAAGTGCATATCCACCGCTGCAACATTCATCACAACAACGCACGGGCGGCCTCTTCAACACAATTTGCATTCGTGTGGAAGAGGACTTTGAACCGCCATGTCCTATCCACCCTCGAATCAGCCCGATAACGCTCCGGGCGACTCCCGAGAGGCGTCCTTCACGCCAGCGGTCGCCCAAGTTCCGGACGAGATTGAGCTCGACCAGATCAGGTGAGTGGTCACGACATAGTTGGCTCTGACTTCCCAGGCGATATGAAGACTTCAGTACGGTCGGTACGTACCCAGCTCTTTGCTTATTACTGCTCCAGCTGACCCCCAGACTGGATCCAGGACTCGCTCCGAGACCGAAATCCGAAAACATATCTGCCGAAACCAGGGTCTGTCCTTGAACGACTAGAGAATTTAGAAGGAGCGCCCGGCGCCGTGTGGCGTGGTCTTCGGAGAGCGTTCCGAGAAGGAGAGAGCTACGTCGTGCTGACGCTCGTCGGTGAGTGACACGTCGCTGTTTCAGCACGTTTCAGAGCTGCGCGAGCTGCGCTGACGGGCCTAGGTGCGATCATCGGTGTCATTTCAGCGCTCATGTCCATCCTGACGGGATGGCTCGCAGACTACAGGTTGGGGCATTGCACTAACGGTTGGTACCTCGGCCGCAAGTTCTGCTGTCTCGAGATTGCAGAGGACGGAGGGTGCGACGAGTGGCATGACTGGGGATCATTCCCGCCCCTCCCCTGGCTGGCCTATATCTTCTTCGCTGTGAGTTACACCGCGCGGATCCATAACTGACAGACAGGGTCTCTTCGCCTGGACGGCTGCCTACATGGTTCGGAGTTTTGCCCCATATGCTGCTGGGTCGGGTATCTCGGAGATCAAGTGCATCATCGGTGGCTTCATCATGAAGAGTTATCTCGGCCTCGAGACGTTGGTCATCAAGAGCATGACTCTGGTAAGCTTTCGTGCCGCTATTCGAGCTGACAACAGCCTCTCTCCATTGGATCCGGTCTCGCTGTCGGAAAGGAGGGTCCTTCGGTCCATGTCGCTTCCTGCGTTGGTAACGTCGTCGGACGACTGTTCCCTCGGTATAAAGCCAGCCACAGTGAGTTACAGCTGCCGGAGTCGTAACTAACCTCAGCCAAAATGCGCGAGCTTCTGACGGCTTCTTGCGCGGCAGGTGTCGCTGTCGCGTTCGGCTCCCCGATCGGCGGTGTGCTCTTCTCGATTGAAGAGATGAACCAGACGTTCAGCGTGCGGACAATGTGGCGGAGCTTTGTGTGCGCTCTGGTGGCAACTTTCTTCCTCTCGGTGAGCTAGTCCAGTGGGCTCGAAAGCTGACATTCAGTCCATGGACCCGTTCCGCACTGGCAAGCTGGTCCTGTTCCAGGTTTCCTACGACCGCGACTGGCACTACTTTGAAATACCCGCCTACATCCTCCTCGGCATCTTTGGTGTAAGCTAGTCCCCGACGTCCCGTAGCTGATATCAGGGCTTCTATGGCGCGCTCGTGTCCAAGTTCAACATCCAGATGGCCGCCTTCCGCCGCAAGCACCTCGCGAACCGCGGCGTCGCCGAAGCCGTCACGCTCGCCGTCCTGACGGCGGTGATCAGCTACCTGAACCGCTTCCTGCGCATCGACATGACGGAAATGATGTCGATTCTGTTCCGCGAGTGCGAGGGCGGCGGCGACCACGACGGCCTGTGCCAGGCATCCAGCCAGTGGTCCATGGTCTGGTCGCTGCTGCTGGCCACCGTGCTGCGTATCGGCTTCATCATCATCAGCTACGGTTCCAAGGTCCCCGCCGGTATCTTTGTGCCGTCCATGGCTGTCGGAGCGACGTTCGGCCGCGCCGTCGGCATCGTCATGAAGGCGATAGAACAGTGAGCTAAGGGCAGGAGTCGGTAGCTGACAGCAGGTCGTACCCGAACGCGCCCTGGTTCGTTGGCGCGTGCAAGCCCGACCAGCCTTGCATCACGCCGGGCACGTATGCGTTCCTCGGTGCCGGCGCCGCGCTCTCCGGCATCACCGGCCTCACCGTCACGGTCGTCGTCATCATGTTCGAGTTGACCGGTGCGCTGACGTACATCCTGCCGACGATGGTAAGCTCAATGTTATCCCTGCGAAGCTAACCGCAGATCGTGATCCTCGTGACCAAGTCTGTCTCTGACCAAGTGGGCAAGGGCGGTATCGCGGACCAGATGATCCGGTTCAACGGCTACCCGTTCCTGGAGAAGGACGACGCCGAGTCTGGCGACAAGGGGTTTAACGAGCCCATTGCGCACATTATGCGGAAGGACCTCGTCGTGATCCCATCCACTGGCCTGCCATTGTCCGAACTCCAGAGACTAGTGCAGGGCTCGTCGTTCCAGGGCTTCCCCGTCGTCGCGACCGAGACGGACCGGACGATCATTGGCTTTATCCCGAAGAACGAGCTGCGCTTTGCGCTCGACCGCGTCCGCCGCTCCTACGCCCTGTCCCCGGACACAGTGTGCACGTTCAGTGACCGCGAGACACCCGCCGGCGGCGTGTCGGCGGGCGGGGGCTGGACCGCGTCGATTTCGGGCAGTACGTTGACGAGACGCCGCTGACGGTGTCGCCCAAGATGCCGCTCGAGATTGTGCTGCAGCTGTTCCGGCGCATGGGCCCGCGCGTCATCCTGGTCCAGAGCGAGGGCCAGCTGCAGGGCCTGGTGACGATCAAGGATGTGCTCCGGCACGAAGCGACGGAGAAGCACAGGGAGGCGGCCGAGGCGCGGGAACTGCGCGAACTCCGCCGCGACAGCACAGAGGGGTGGGGCGAGTGGACGCCGCTGGGCGCGCTGGGCGACGCACAGGGCCCCGTCCTCGAGCACGCGCTCGAGAGCGGGCTCAACTGGGCGCAGACGCGCGGCGTCGGTGTCGTCAACGACGTCATTGCGCGCGTGCGGGCGGCGCGCCCGGGGAGTGCCGGGGGTGCGGTCGGCAGTCGCGGTGGACTGGGCATGAGCGGAGATGCGGGAGAGGGGGACAGCTTTACGCAGGACTACAGCTTTGCGATTGGCGACGAGGAGGAGGCGCGCGACGAACCGCCCCTCCCGCACAGGAGGGGGAGTGGCGCGAGCCATCAGGATTGATTATGTAGAATGCCTAGACTCATGCACATTTTAATGACAACACGCGAGCGCGATGGCGCGATAGCGCGAGCTCGACGCGCCGTCTCCTCCAACCCATCCCACACACACTTCACTTCACAGCACCGAGGAAACAACGACGCAATTGACAAACGAGTGGCATCAGACGACTACGTAGACTCTTACTCGGCCTTCTTGCCCCTGGCGCGCTTGGCCTTGTTCATGGCAACGATGCGCTTGGCGCTCAGGTTCATGATGCGCTTCTCGAGCGACGGGTTCCAGCCAAAGAGACCAAAGAGCATCTCAATGTGCACAAAGAACGGCGCGGTCACGAGGGCTGGGGGCGTCAGCTTTGGCGTCCTATTCAGTAGCTTCGCGTCGCAGCCTCTGTAGCGAGGAGGAGCAGGTGACCTGCAAAGTTACTTCGCAGACGGTCCATGCGCCAACCAGTCCAGCCGACCAGATGGATTGTGGTCAAAGGATGTTGGCGCTCTCGGCCCGCGGCCGTCGGCCTCACCCGACCTCGCCGAAAGACGACTCACCCTGGGTCAGGTTGTCAAAGAGCGCCGGCGCGCGGCCCTCAAACTTGAAGTGTCCGAGGAACTGCCAGAACCAGCCGTTGAAGTGGACAAAGAGCGCAAAGGGGAGCGCGGACGGCTTGTCCGTGAACGCCGTCGCGAGGGGGAGCCACGCGGGATTGTGGTTCGCGAGGTAGCCCGAGGTCAGGTACAGCGCGGCCATGACGGGGATGTAGGTGCCCTGGGAGTCAGCTGGGCAAAACTTTCAGGCAGCTTTGATGATGCTTCTGGGCACCCGTCCAGGCCTGGCAGACAGTCTGTAGACCGATGACAGATAGGGGCAGGCCTGGCGGCCAGCCCAATACTCACGCCAACAAACTCGTCCAGGAAGATGTAGTAGAACTGGAACGCGAACGCGAGCAGCATGCCGACCGACGGACGGAAGGTGAGTCCCGGTCCGACATCGACGTAGGTGAACCCGGGCAGGTTGAGGTATCCGAGGAAGATGAGGGCGGACCACAGGATCTGCGGAATGAAAACGAAGTGGATCGCCTTGTTCACGGGGTTGCTGTGGTAGGACGCGTAGAAGGCGAGCTGGGTGGTTAGCTTTTCGAGGCAGTCATAGAGCTTGTGCAGCTGTCCGCAGAGACAGATGTTGCTCTTGTTGATGGTAGGAGGATCTGAGCTCGAGGTTGGACTCACCTCATTCTCGAGATGGGCTGTGACGTCGCCCTCCTTAGGGGCCGAGACGGACTTGGGCTGCTCTACAGAGGTAGCAGCTGCGGCGGATGAGCGAGTGACGCGCTGGGTGGGTTGCGTGGCCGTCATGGTGGATGATGTTGAGGATGCAAGAAGGAAGTGCCGGATCGACCAACTTCTTCTGCAAGTGGCAACGCGGTGTCTAGGTGTCTCTTGCCGGTGTTGTCGTCACCGCCCAGCCCAGCCAGCGCTCAGCTCCGGCTCTGCGCGCGTCCATGTCCATGACCAGACCCACGAGCCACGGATATTGAATGGTTGCCGATGCCCGATTTGCTTCCGCCCATTGACCGCTCTCCGTCTTCCAACGCCCAATAGTCCAATCTCACCGGCCCGATTACAGTCTCGGTCAGCACTCTGCTCTGGGGGGCTTTCCAAGGCGAAGACATTGCTGCGGCCGCTGCAACGCACTGTGATTCTAGGAATAGGTCACGAGACACCTGTTGTGAACGTCGATCTGCTCATGGGGCACCGCTGCGGAGGGCTTTAGAAGGACAATGCGAAGATGGGGCATGTTGGTGCCTGGGTCATGTTTCGGGCGTCTGCGATCAGCGCGCTGGGACTGTCTGGCGTGACGATGGGGCGCATTCTCCACTCCATGTCTTCCTCACGACATCGTCGACACCTTGATGCGTCCTCTCTCCACTCCAAGAGCCACTCCTTGCGAGTGAAAAAGAGGAATCTCTCTATCGAGAGGCTCCGACCCCGGCCCGACTCGAACGGACAACCTTCAGGAATACGTGTGTATATCCCAGTCATTGGAATCTGAAGCGCTACCAATTACGCCACGGAGTCACCGTGATGTGGTTCACGACGGCGATCCGCCGCGCTGGCTTATAAGTGCCGGCTGCTTGAGTGTATCGTAGAAGGAGTGCAAGGTAAGTTGAGCAGAGGTGAGCGCAGAGCTTGATCGTGACGTTGGGACGCGGAACCCGCTCCCGCACTTCTTTAGGCTCGGCAGTCTCCCACTTTGTGACGGAGCTTGACGAGAGATGCCCCGGGCGTTTCACCGCCCGCAACTGCCGTGACATGCGTCTTGGAACGGTGCGTGCGAGCTTTTGCCGAGACACGGTTTGCAGCGGGACATGCGTCCTGCAAGGATGTTCTAACGCTTAACCCGCAAATGCATTATGAGGTGTCTAGATTTTAGATGAGGGCGGCGAGGAGGCCAGCAGCACCGACAAGGGCCGCGGGGGCGAGCTTGCCAGCGGAGCCCGCGGCCTTGGAGGCGGCAGC